AAATGTTAGACCATTTATATTCCTATATATACCAGTAGGTATACCACATCACATATACAAGGTGTAAGTTACACAGTGTAACAGAAAGACTTGACGAAAAAAGAAATAATGGTACTTAAACGTATGACAGAAATTGATAAAACTATATGATTAGTAAATAATTTAAGAAAAAACTCATGTCAGAAAATTCCCCAAAAAAAATTTTAAAAAGTTATTACGTTCCGAATTCATTTAATCAAAAAATATTGATATTTTAAAAAATTCTAAAAATAAACTACTAAGATAAATGTTTTTACTATCAAAATTGTTCTTATAATCAGATTCGAAAGTTGAAAATTTTGAATACATCCAAAAAAAATTAAATCAAATTTAAATTAATGTTATATTTTCAATGTTAAAAAAAAAAATAATTTTTGTATAATATTATGTGTAGCTCAAGTCACTATAATTTATACGTAAAAAAAAAAATTTAAATATTGATTAACACAAAAGTCAGTTCTATCTGTTACAACCTGTATAAATATATGTAAAATAAAAAAAATTGTAAAATTAGAATATAAAAACAAATTTGCAAACGTAATACACAATAATGTAATATAGCTTTTTAATATTAATCATTCCTTTATACTCGTATTAATACCTTGATTTATGGTTAAGTTATTTTGTCCACCAATCTTAGGGAAATTATGTTTGAACAATTAATTGACATTATTGACATGGAACTGTATAAGGCAGCGTTTCTCAACCTATGGTACGTATTGTGGTTACAAGTGGTAAGCAAAGAAAATCTCCCTTAAAAAAAATGTACCCACCTAATGGATCATTATTTAAATTTTACATTAAATATTATTTGGTTTGTTTGCTACAGTGAAACCTCTAAATACTGGAAAATACTATTTGCTGTCGAAATGTTGTCCGCTATTGGGAAGTGTCCGTTAGGGGAGGTCTCACTGCATTAATAATAATATAAATAATAATTGTACATAATATATCATTTTCTTTTGTTTCTTTTTTGCTTATAATATTATCATAATTTTAAGTTCCTTATAAAATAAAATTCCACAGATACTTGTAGGTTATTTTCAAACTGTTTAGGTCGTAGGTGGTAGGCAGATATAAAAAGGTTGAGAATCACGATAGGATAATTAACAATAATTGGGAGGTGCAGTCTACGTGGGGTCCGGACCCTCCTCAAAATTTTTCTACGATATGCATTTTTTTTTAAATAATACACCTCATAATAATAATATGAAATTAAAAAAAAACTTAATATGATATTAAGATTTAAGAAAATGTTAACTCTCACATAAATGGGAACTACCCCGAACGATAAAACCGTACATGATTAAGTGCACAATAATATTGATTACTAGCTGATCCCGTGCACTTCGTCGCCCGTTAAATGGATCAACTCAATAGTACCTACTCAAACTTTGTTCAATTCATTAACGTGTATGGTGTTCAAAATTTATCTTATCTTTCCCGTTGCCCTGATTAAAAATTCTGAATCGCAGCAGTACATTATCAGGTAGGCAATCTACCTGCGGTAGATCGCGGACCCCGTGCTGTTTGTACGGAAGTGTATGATTTAACTCTAAAGTATCAAAGTTATACCAAGTTTATTTTGATGTAATACTGTGGATTAATTTAATAAATTTGGTTGCTCGTAAAAAATCGCAACTCTTAAAAAAATTATGATTGTTGAACTCCTTTTGGGTGTAATTTTCTGCGGTAAATAAAACTCTGCCACCCTGGTAAGCATTGTTCAATAATTCGATTTGATGCAAGCTTGTACCTGATCTGCCCGAATAACCAATGGCAACCAATAAATAAATGCTAATTTCTAATGTAGACTGTAACCAATGGCAACTATAAATAAATAAAAATAAAATTTCCAATTTCTATCGTGAATCTCAATGTCCCTGTTTCGGCACCTATTTAAAATGCGAATTTTGGCGAATCCTTTCTTAGCGCACGTCTATATTATAATAGCTATCTGTATGCCAAATTTCAGCCAGATCCGTCCAATGGTTTGAGCTGTGCGTTGATAGCAGTCAATCAGCTTACTGTTTTTTATATACAGATATGGTTGCCATGGTAATATGGACACACACACACACACACTGACATACATTCATTTTTATATATATATAGATAGATTGATATGAAATCTTGGTAACCTTAGTAACCATGGCAACCTTGGTAACCATGGTAACATGGACACACAGACACACACACTGACATACATTCATTTTTATATATATAGATGGTATATACCACTAGCTAGCACCTGATCGGTAGAGATTTCCAACCACGGTTGTCGCTTCGCATGGTCGATCGACGATGACCTACATCGAAACGACTATAGAGACATATTATTTTACTAAATTATTATAACAAACTGAGGACACGGTGCAATGCTGGTTGTGTCTGGTGGTGCTTGTAAAATAATTACTAATCAGTGTTTCTTCAACCACCTGCCGAATTATGCAACACATCGCTATTGTATCGCATGGAAATACACTACGCTGCTAGACAAATTCGAATAGCTCAAATCCTCTTTCTGAAGATCTTTATCCGAAGATCTATTTCCATTCCTTACCACCACAGGATTCAGTCATAATATTATGTCTTAGCATCATAAACTGCATATTATACTGATGCTTGTACTGATTATTGGTGTAGCATTTTCTGCTTGTCATTGTATCTGATCTTAATGAACTTACGTAGCATGCATGAAAAAACTTTATATTAAAGTAATATTATTATTTATCGATAGACACCTGTAGACACTCGATTTTGACAAGAATGCAGTTACTGCTTAGTCGCAGAGGTTGGCGATTAAATTCTACAGCGGTCCAGATAACTTGAAAAATAATTTTTGAGGGCCAGAAAAAAACATGAATATTAGTAGTTAATATAATGTGTTTATTTTTGTGTTTGAACTACAGCTTAAGCTATTTAAAATGAGTTATTTAATATTATATAATATTAGCCAATTTTGAATTTGGTACTCTTGGCGAGAACAATACTAATGCGCAGAGTATCTTCAAGATGGAGATCAGTTATGATCTCAGACGATATTTATTTTTTAAAAACGTAATTTTGGAGAACGAAGTTTCACACAATATATATTATTATTTAAGGAGGCAAAATACATCCAATTACAACTTCGAGAATAAATCCAAATATATTATCCATTACGTGGGAAAAACCTGCATTAAAAAAATTCATGGTGGTCCAGAGAGTCCCCCTCCATGGGCTGGATTTTTCCCTCTCGCTGACCATTACCCACCCCTGGGCCTCAGTGGCCTGTGGGGGGGCAGAATATTTCTAAGGTACCTAATATTTTTATGTGTTGCAGTATGGTTCGCGTTTTTTCTGCATTCACTCACATAAATATCGTATCCCGTTGACTTAGACACGATTGAGCAAAATTGTCGGTGTATCAAAGGAAATCGAAATCGAAAAGAAAACCTACACGATTGAGCATAAAAAACGCTGCAACGTTGCCACTTTCAATTTTGAACTGAACATTTATTATTGGTACACCTCCATCTTACAAGATTATCTTTTTTTCGTTCTCCAATTAATTTATATTTGTATCAACTCTTTCTGGTAAAATAATTGTGATATCCATATTACAAAAAAAAAAAAATAGAAACTAGGTATACCTACGCATACTTATATGAAACTCACTTTATGTGACACGACTATATAGGCGATCGAACACTGATATTATTTCTATAATAATTTTGGAATTGTCATCTTATATTTTCCACCAATGCCAAATGTTTGAAACGTCGTGGAACATTATTGCCCCGGAACTAATTTATTAATCGATAACTATTGTCGGTAAAGTCGGGGGGATCGGCTCACGGCTCGGGTCTGATATCAAAATAATTGCTGTGTAATAATACGTGAAAATAATAAATTATAAAATTTCGGCAACGTGAATGTGTGGCAACACGGCATAAAATGTTCTATGCTCGATCGTGTTGCTAAAAAGGTATGATATGCTCAACCGTTTTATGCTCAATCGCGTGCTTTACCGATCCCATTTGTCGAGCAGCAGTGTTCGAAACTCGAGAACGATTGTTGTAAAGTGGGTACACCGCCTATATATATATACATATCATATACCTACCTCAAGGCTATAACCTACACGACATATAGGTGTATATATATATATTATACATTATATAATGGTATATCTGGATATGTTATTAATGTTGAAGGATGACGGGAACGGTGGCAGCAGCTTGCGCTCGCCGGAGGCGGCGAGGGGTTGCAAATGGATAGCGAGGTATTAGGCGCAGAGGCGCGGGGGTATACGTAGGGTTATTTCAAGCGATGTGATGGAGCTCAGGTGCACGTTAACGGTATCGGTCGACCGGTCACAGCTTAACTTTAACTTCCCAGATGCAACCAATTTTTACGGGAATCGATTAGGAACTTCTGTTGCGCGGCGGCGGCGATGGCGGAGGTGGTACAATATGCACCGATATATATGTATATATTCATATTCCGAACGGTAATATAAATTATTATGGGTCGTAAAGTCAACGGATTTACGCTAATTTCGCGATAGACGAAATCGGAGTAGTAGTCGTCGGCGTAGTCGCGAAACAGCTGTTCATTTTTAAATATCGCGTATTGCACGTTATTACAACGCGTATCGTAACAATACATAATATATCGGCTAAACCTACCCACTCGATCTTCGACAAACAGAAGAAAACAAAAAAAAAAAAATTAGTAAATGGATGTCGCTCTGCTGTACAGTAGGTTACAAGTGGGTCAATGTACAATGGATTGTATTAAACTTGAATTCAATAACGATATAATATCATTGCATGAGAAAAACGATTCTGAGCGGAGACGGTTTGTCAGTCTGGGTATTTAATACTGATATTATATTATAGTCTGTAATTTGAATTAATAGTATACAGTCGAACTTGGTTAACTCGAAGTTGAAAGGACCGGAGAAAAAGTTCTAGTTATCCAAGAATTCGAGTTATCCAAAAAAAAATTTTTTTGTCACTTGTCTGTGTAAACCATTTGTAAACGCACTCATCTACGTCATTATTTTCCGGTTCTCTAGCCCTTTTTCTGCCCTTTACACTGGACGTAGCCAACTTATTTAAAATTATTTCTTTATTTTTAAGATAAGTTGACAAAGTGTTAGGTGGAATACCAGATTCTTCAACTATCAAAGACTTTGTTTTAAATCCATTTTCAACTTCCTGTATCACTGTCGCTTTTTCTTCGTATGTTAGCGTTTTTAGCATGCGTTTTGATGATGAAATTACGAACGATCACGTTGAAACAAACACAGAGCACTGAACACGAAAGTCGTGAACCAGTCGTCGTCGTCGTAAACCGTAGATAAACAACTTATCGGTAACGATAACATTAATGACTAATGAGTAATGACCTTTATAGATAAATGAAGGAAATTTTATACAAATACAATATATGTATTAATTAAACTCAAAACTTCGAGTTATCCACGAAAATATTCGAGTTAAACAAGATTTTTTTACATTGTTTAAATATTAAATTCTAGGGACCGGAGTAAAAGTTCGAGGTATTGACGATTTCGAGTTAAAGAAGTTTGAGATAACCAAGTTCGACTGTATTATTAATTTTTGTTCGTTTCTATGGTGATACACAAAGCTTTATAAATTAAAATCCCGTTTTTAGAGGTTTTTCGAAATTTTTCGGTGATTTTTCCAGTGGCATTAAATAACTATATTGAAAAAATCAAAAAATAACCTCTTTAAAGTACCATATTGATCCAATTTTCTAAATGATAAGGCACTATATGTGGAAATCTAAGCATTCCTTCTGGTGGAAATTTTGTATATAGGATAAAAAAAAATATGCATCATTTTACAACCACTAGCTTCCCCTCTAAGCTAAAATATACAGTTAAGGGGACGTTACAGTGGTATTTGTTGTGTCCGTCTTACCAGTGGGTAACATAGTACATTTTACGTTCAGCAGAACACGTATAGCTCCGTTAGCTTAAAATTTAAAGCTGAGAATATTTTCTAGACAATGACATAGGTTTCTTATTATATTTTAAAATTAAAGCGAGTTATGAGAATTTTAAGATGCACCAACAGTTTACGGTTTTAAAATACACATAACTCGCTTTAAAATTAAAATATAATAAAAATCCTATATCATTGTCTTGATAATAATCTTCTCTTTAAATTTGATAAGAGCTCAATTCGTTCTAATTTGTAAACTAACGGAGATAAACGTGTACTGCTGAGCGTAAAATTTGCTATGTTATTTGCTATGTTTCACTGTAACGTCCACTTGTGTAATATTATTGAGTACATAAAGAAAATAAAGAAAGTTTACAGAGGGAGGGCTTCGGTTTCAATATATAAATTTAAAAAAAATAGATAACAATATATAACATGCGATGTGCATCGTGAATTCGTATTTCTGCTGCACGTGATCGAGTGGGTGTATAGTGTGGGTCACCGTGGTGAAGTGGGTGAGCGTACACGGTATATAATAATATATTTAGTTTTTATAATTTGTCACTCGACGCGATTTTTATCCGCATATTATATTGTATTTACGTTGGAAAACGGCTGAAAGAGAGCTTATATATATATATATTTATTATATGGCAACGTCGGTCGTGTTATCATATAAAAACACACTGGGCTACGTCAACAATAATATGTTTACCAGTGCCATTAGAAAAATAAACAAACGCTGTGATCCGTGTCAAGTCCTGCGAACGACTGCTAGGCACGTATCCGTTCTTATCTCTATAAATGCACTTTCCCCGCACCCCGCGGATCAACAACTCCGCGCTCGGCGCTCGACTAAACCGCCCACCACCCACCGGGGGCCTCCGTTAATTTCGACTTCAAACTTTGGACGGGCTGACAGACAGTGCGCGGTGGCGATGACGGAGACGAGGAGAAAATCATGGAGGTGGAGATGAAGAGAGTGAGAGAGAGAGAGAGAGAGACGAAAAACAGGCGACAAGGCGAATGTTGTGAAATTACGAGAGAGATAAAACAAACGGGTGTGAAAGACGAGGGGCGTGTATGTGTGTGTGTGGGAGAACACTTCAAGTTCAAAAATTCAAAACTAATATTATTTCGAATAATTAAATATTATGTTTTTGACAATATCATCAGCGAGTGATCACACAACGATAGGCAGGTGTGTAGAGAATAATAATAATATAATGAACTATCTAACACCATATTTGAATCAATATAATTGCATGCGGGTGAAGTGGGGTATTATGCTCCACTACCGCCGCAAAAATGACAAAACTCGATAACCAGGGGGGTGTGAATAAAAACAAAATTGGAAATACCCGCGAAAATGTTCATATATTATCTGCCACGTTATTTTATTTTATAAGGAACTTCAAAACCGTGACAATTTAACGCACAAAAAGAAAAGACAAATATTATGTACGTTTATTATATTTTATAATAATTAATTATTATTAATATCAAATGAACCAAATGATATTAAATGCAGTGAATAACGATCCATCCCAATTTTTTTTTTTGTCGATAAGGGGAGATTCTTCAGTACTTCAAGCGGTAAAGCACGATTGAGCATAAAACGATTGAGCATAGAATATTTTATGCGATGTTGCCACATTAGGTGGCCGAAATTTTGTAATTTATTATTTTCACATATTATTGCACCAATAATTGTAGTGTTTGAAAATTTCATGAAATTTAAAAAAATGAAATATTTCAAAATATGTGAAATATTTCAGTATTTTAATATATTTTGTTTTATTTTTAAATAAGTTTTATATTTACATATAATTGTCATAAATTACCTTCATCACTATATGGTACCTGTATGTATACCTAACTTTGGTATTATACATTTAAATTGGTATTCAACATTTTTAAATATTTTAATGTTTAAATGATACGAGTAGGTATACAATATTATACATGTATATTGTATACTTACTGAATTCTGACATTAGAATTTAGAACACTGAACATTGTGTTAAAAAAATAAATAAATGTGTTTTTATTTGTGTTAAAAAAAATTTCAATGTTTCACGTTTTTGTGAAATATTTCACAACTTTTTCAAAATGAAATATTTCATTTGAAATATTTCTCATACTTCAAACACCAAATTTTATGATACCAGACGCGAGTCGTGAGCTGAGCCCAGCTTTATCGACAATGTTATCGGTTAATAAATTAGTTCTGGAGCCATAAAGTTCCAAAGTTTTAAAAATTTAAAATTAAAGGAAAACACAACATTATAAATGAAGATACAATTCCAAAATTATCATTTAAATAATATCAGTGTTCGATCACCCATAATCTACAGTATTCTTGACTTATAAAGTTATAAACCATGCAGTATTTTTTTTAATTCGTACCATATTTTGATTTTATTATTTTCATAACTATTATTATTATTATGTAATTTTTTTGATATACATATTATATTTTGAATTATAATATAGCTATTTAAATAAATCTTTTTGTATAATATAGTTTAAAATGGAAAATGGCAACGTTGCAGAGTTTTCTATGCTCAATCGTGTAGGTTTTCTTTTGTATTCTGATTTCCTCTGATACGCCGACAATTTGGCTCAATCGTGTCTCAGCCACTTCGCGTACCACCTGTGTGCATCCCGCGTACCACTGCTTTAGTGATATGGTAACCACACAAGTCGATAATCGTCGGTCTGTCTAGAACATTGCGACGACGTTCCGAATCGGATCGGTCGGTACAATTTTAGACTGTCCGGGACGGCCAGCGGTACCGATAAAAACGGAAGTCCTTATATATATATTCGATGGGTCGGACACATTTATAGCTGCAGCAGACCTTCGGCCCACATGGCGCACACCTGGGTTCTGTGGCTTAACGTGTGAGCGTATATTTATAGTCTCCCGAGAACTTTCCGACGGAACCTGCAAGACGAGCGCCTATGAATATATTATTATAATAATAATTGTTCAATTCGTATATTATAAGGAAAAGATTTTTTTTTATTTCTAAACGCATATTACACCAAAACAATTAAATATTCGGCGCCAGTGGCATAGACGGGAATTCTCATTGGGGGGGGGGGATATATATACCCCAAAAAACTAGTTAATCTTTGTATAAAAAAAAAATGATGTAATTTTTTCTACACAATGTCTATTTTTCTAAATTTATTTGATATAATATCAATAATTTCCTAGGGCGTAATGGGAACTTCTCGGTGAACTGATAATTATGTTAATCTGTTTAGTCGAGTCTGAAAAGTAAATAGGTACATAAATAGTTTTATACTGACTTTAAAGACGAAAAATAACTATTAGTATTTACTTCGGCCATCGTCTTTCTTAAGTATATTTTCAGTATTTTAAGACATGAATAAATTCTTTCGGTTGTTGATATGGACACCGGTAAGGTGCGTAGTATATTAAGTAGTTTCAAATAGAACCGCCCCCCCCCCTATATCACTTTTAAATATTCGGCAGACACGACGTGACATACTATGTCTTAGGAATTCAAAACGTTAAAGTTTGGCGAACAAATTATTTGAACTAGACATTACGGTTTGAATGAAATCTCTCAATACGACTTGGATTAACCAGAAGATAGGAATGGAAAAGTTTTAAAAACAAACAAGTGGGCTTTCCTTCGTATTTATAGGGTTTTCCGAAAAATCGTTTACGAAACGTGAAATATCATATTATTTTGAAGGTTTCCTAACGTTTTAAGTCGACTGGCCGTGGGTGTTCGCGATAAGTATTATAATACATAATACCATAATATATTGTATCAAGTTGTGTATACAGGGTGACACGTTTAACGCGAGACACTTATATTGATTCGAAAAACCCTAGAGTTTTTAGAAATTGTTCTTTGACACAATTATTTTAAAACAATGTATTTGCAAAATAATTTAACATTTAGTTTTAACATTTTTTATCGTTATTATTTTTTTTTACACTTTTAACTCTTTTAAATCATTATCACGTTATGTTATTATAATTTTGAATTTCATGTTCTATAGGAGAACACTATTATTTATTCTAAAGTATTTCAATTTATAACAATCGAATTTCAGACAAGCGTAGTTTACGAGTATATATTTTAAAGTACTGGTATAAGTGGTCGACCAACATTTTGCACCGCTCCACTCAGCTCACCTACACTTCAAATATAATATAACTCACGGCCAATGTCTAATATTCGATTTGCATACACCGATAAGTACTGTGAGAAAATCAGTTATCATAGTTAAAAAGCAAACATAAA